TTCTTCTCATCAGTATCCTTATGTGGGTGGAAAACATCTTCAACTTCAAAAAGAGGTATTTTGGACTTTAGCTATAGTGGGTGGACGTTTTTACAAATGTTTTTAAAATGTGTACTTTTTCCCTAGTAATTTTATTGTTGTGTATCGACCCTCAGTTTTCCCTATTTAAATTTATGGGTTCTAATGGATTTATATTATTTTGACTTATAAAATTTGGATCCAACTTAATTTAATTTTACAAGTCTATTAAATTAAATTCAAGCCTGGATTCAACTCAATTTAACTTTACAAGCATGTTTAATTATAGTTGGAGTTGTATTATTTGGCTTATGAAATTTAGCAGATTAATGTTAGAAAAATATTTAATGATAATTGGGGATCAGTCCTATTTACGAGACTTATAATGCTTAAAGTCAGAGCGTTAAACATGTATTATTAAGTCCTATGAAAGTAATCTTATTTGGTAGTTAAATTCATTCTTTTTTTTTATTACTAAAACACCATTAATAGATTGTTTAACGTTAGAAAGAGTTTTCAAATAGATTTGGAGATTATAATTCCAAAACTGATGGCAGTTTCTAAATCTTCTCAATCTCATATCTAAAATTCAAAAAAATTCGAACTATTCTCCTTCAATTTTTCTTCTTCTTTTTTAGAAGCCTCATTGTGCAATCCACGGCCACCGCATAAAATGCTACCTTCATAATCTCAAAAACCTTAACTCCTTTGTTACCTAGTTCTTCAATTTCTTCCAACAACTCAAGAACTTTATGGAAAACCAAACTGTTAGCAATCTCCGACTCAATTCTTCGCAAAAGCAAACCACTTAGTTTACCAAAATAGTTTATTAAATTTATGTCGACTACTAATCTAACCCATAACACACACAATGCAAACGGAATGAGAATTCACTAGAAATAAGTACAAAGAAGATGTTAGAGAGGGTATTTTTTGGGTGTAGACTGACGCAAGTTAGCGACGAAGGAGACGAGGACGATGAATTGAAGATGAGGAACCATGTATGGCCACAAACCCGAACTGGTTATCTATGGCCCTGTCTGGTCCTCAGTCTTGTCGTCATCGTTGTCTCTTCTCTCATCATGCAATCTCACGATTTGGTCTGTATTTCTTCCCCTTCAACATTTGATCATTTTCTCGCATTCGTTTCTTTGGTTTCGACGACCTCAAGTCCGATTTTGGAACTCTCGTGTTACTATTTTTGAATATGTGATGTTACTTACAAAATGCTCGTAATATATGGATAGTAGTATATAATGGTACTAATGTTACTATTTAATGTTACTATCTTTGATATACAGTGTTATTGTTTTGTCACTTTTATGTTCATGTTATTGTTTCATATTATTGTGCAATACTATTGACTTATGCTATTATTCGATAACATTATGTTAATTTTATTTACTTATGTTAATATTCATTGTTACTATTTTTTGTTTTGAATGCAAATATTGAATGTTAATATTTTTTTCGAAGTGTTAATATTTGAATGTTACAATTTTTTTTTGAATGTTATTATTTATTTACTAATTTTTCAAAATAGTAATATTCAATATTACTATTTTTTATTTTTAATGTTACTATTTTTTGTTTTGAATATTATTATTTTTCTCATATAAATACATATATGATAGAAACAGTCCTAATCTAAGAGAGATCTAAAATTAATGAATTTTTGAATTAGTTTAAATTTGGTTACATTTGTATATTTTTTTATAGATGGATATGAGAGACAGAGATTTTAATGTGAGAAAAATTCTAAAATTTAGGAGTTTTTTAGTTTTTAAATATGCTTTAATTAGATGTAAATGTTGGGGGTATTTTAGACAATTAAGATCAAAATAACTTAAACCCAAATAAAGTGGACTTTTTGTCAAATAAGTCTAAAAATATGGATCGGCCTGAAATTTCCCAATTATTTAATTGGATTTGGGCTAAGTCAACATAATTTCATTTGTTAATTTTTTAATGTCTACAAATGCTCCCTCGAGACTTGTTTACATATTTAATTTTCTTTATATAAATATGAAAACGAGTCTCGATTTATATTTTGATTTAAAAAGAGTTTGATTTAACTTGAATATAGTTATTTATTTTTCTTTAATTTGGTCATCATTGAAGTCTAATCCATATTGGGGTCAAAGTAATCAATCCTTTTCTAATTGAAACACTTGCACCTACAGGTTTTATGCATTTTTATCTGTATAGATCTATAAACTCCCTGCAGATCTACAATTAGAGTTAGACAAAGAAATCTATTTCTATTTAATGCATACCTCTATGATTCAGAGAACACACTATTTGGATTTTGTCTCCAAGAATAAAGAAAGTCAAGTATTCCTTTTTTTCAGATGTTTGTCCTCTCATTCTTTTGTATTCTTTAATAAGAGTTTTTTTTATAGTACATTCTTTTTTTTTTCATGAATGATGACAATAGACTTGTAACTTTTTTGACCTCAACTCATTAGAGTTTGTTCAATTGAATGTTGCTCTCAAGTTTTAACAGGAATATTCATTGTACTCATGCCGAGACCTTCTTATTGCCTTCCAACGTTGAAGTTATTCTTTATTTGACCCCTACAGATTGACTTTTGTCACTTTTGATCTATAATTCACCCTCTCTTTTTGGGTTTAACTATATATATGAATGATTTTATTTTTCCTTATTTTTTTAGAAGATTTTTCTTGGGTGTCTTATAGATATTGTCCAAAGAATGCAATTATCTCACAGAACAAATGGTTTGCTATGCTTAATATCTTTAGTTTAATCTTTATTTGTCTTAATTTTACTCTTTATTCAATAGTCCTTTCCTGGTCCAATTGCCCGAGGCCTATGCTTTTTGAATTCAATCATAGATATTATGCCAGTCATACGTGTACCCTTTTTTCTCTTAGCCTTTGTTTGGCAAGTTGCTGATATTATTTCTAGTGACTTTTTCTCAAGAATTCTATCTCAAATGGATTTTGTCCCAAGAATTTAATGTAAGACAACTTAAAGGAATTATTTCTTGCAAAAATCTCTTTTGGATCAATAAAGTTCCAAGATTCTATTTAGGTACTACATTCCCCCCCTTCTTCTCTCTCTGTCTCCTTTTTATATTATGTTGCACACCAATTTGATGTTTTATATTCTTGGAAAGTTTGTATATGTTTTGTATTTACTTTTTTGGCAAGGATGAGTTTGATAGTTATTGTAAGAGGAAAAAATATCTTACCTTAGTGTTTTAGAGTTTGACTGGAAAACACAAACGTAGATTGCACCGTTTCTCCTGCAAAACGAACAAACTATTAGAGATCAGGGTTGGATTGATCGGGGCACTCCAATAATTAAGTCAGTAAAGGCTCTAGCAGTAGATAAACTGAATATCACGAAAGAAATACATACCTTTGACTCAAGTAGTTGCATGGCATTTATAATATCGTATAATGTCCCCCTCTTCTAGGGTTTTTTCCTTTTAGCTATGCTAGGTGACACGCCTATAAGGACAGCCAAACTCTTCATTTCAGCCCTCATTCCCTCTGGATTTTCCTCTTTTTTACCACATTTATAATGTATTCCTATAATTTGGGCGAATTCCTTATCAATCTACCATTGCCTCTAACTTCTCGGGATCATCTTTCCATTATCTTTAAAGGAGAATTCTTGGGGGAAAAAAAGGTTATAACTATCATCTTGGATCAGTTTTAGCTCAGTTTGATTAATAGTTTTGGCAAATTCGTTAAAGCACTTCGATTTGTTGCTCTATCCATCTTGCTGAGCCCTAAAGTTTTATGCTCAGTCATGCCGAGCATTGAGGTCTAATACTCAACATATAATTGTCTTACTTTTGTTGAACGTGCCTTTGCCACATGAATTTATTGACTTTTCAATTATCCGTTGTCATTTTATGTGCCTTCATTTGCCCCTCAAGGAATGTTTGCCACATGGAAAATATTATTTGACACTTTTTGATTCTTCTTCATTCTGCATTAAATGCACAGCATGGTTTCCTGTGAAAGGAGGTTTTGTGCGTCTTTTCCTTTGCATAAAATGCATCACATTATTTATTGTGAGTGTCCTTTGACTTGCAGGTGTGCTTATTTTGGCACCTTTTTGTGTTCTTTTTAAAGGGTCATCGTCCTCCATTTTCATCTATTTTTGTGCTTCAGCATTCCGCTATTTCTATAAGTGCCTCCTTTCTTCATTTTCATTTTATTTTTCTTCAATGGCTCCTTTAAAGAGAGAACAGATAGCAAGCTTTTGATCCAATTATGTCATCCTAAAAAATTGTTTATTAGCGTGGCAGGTGAGGATGAGCCTCTATCAGAGCCTAGGGAATCCATCCTTATTCCAACTAGGGCCATTACAGAGGGTGAAGTTAGGTTTCCCCTCCACCCTTTGCTCATTTGGGTCCTTCACTCACTAAAGCTATGCCCTATTCAGTGCCTTCAAATTTCTCTAGCATAGTTCTAGGGGTTCTGCTTTAAACAACATCGTAGGCACCAACTTAGGTCTTTAGGAAATTCTCTGCTGCTATTCGATTGCCCCCACTTTTGAGGAAAAATATTTTTTCAGGCAAGCATTAGTTGGTCACCCACCTTCCTAATTCAAACAAAGGCCCTGAAAATGATGTTTTGCTTGTCTCTGAGAACAGTAAACATCAAGAAGGTAGGCAACCTCACTACAATTGTCCGTTTGATTAGGGTGCACTAGGTGATTTTCATCGGTGCCCTTCTTCTTCTTATCCTCTTTTCTTATGATTTAATTTTAACTCTGAATTTGTTGTAGGAGATTTTGTGAAAGGCAGTGTGCTTGATTCAAGGGTCAACTTCTCAGACCTACAAAAGTTTGGGAGTTTAGAGTTATTGAAGCTTTATGCCAATCCGCGCATGTGCTTCTGGGATACGAACCCACCTACAAGTCCTTCATAGAAGTCCTTTCATTGTCTTCTAAGTAATTAGCATCTCTAAGAGATGCTCGGACAAGGTAAGCATTGTCATCTATGCCGCCAAAGAATTCTAGGAAGAAAGGGATGGGGCAAGAGAGATTTGTGAGGAATTTTATTGATCTAGTGCTCGATCCGACCTCTAGGTCCTTTCCTGAGTTGGTTCGAAGACAAACTGCTATGAAGAAGAGAAAAGCCACTACTGAGCCATCTACAGATGAGGCTAGAGGGACTCAAATTTGGAAGACTCAGATGAGAGCTCATGGTAGGGACATTCATTCGAGAGGTTTGACGGTTGATGATGTCGATGTAGTGGTTAGTTTGGCTAATGCGACAATCCTTTTGAGAATCTAGATAATGATCCTCTAGCTAGAATTGTTGTTCAACTACTGGTGGTGATAGGTTTCACCCCCTTTTTGTTTCGATTAGGGCATGCAATGAGTGTATAATCTGGGAGCCTGAGCTATTAATAGGGGCCAAGAGGTATAAAAGGATCTTCTCTTGAAGTCTTTGGTCGTGGAGAAGTGCGAGCTTTTGGAAGATGACTCCACAAAGGCTTCCGAAGAGATTGCTCAGCTTTAGACTGAAACTGAAAAATTATTCAGTCAGAATGAGGAGCTCTGCCAAAAGATAAAGGCATCCACATAATTTGAGAAGGCGGATCGTGATGTGGTTGCTTTGGTGAAGGAGCTCAATTCTTCCCTCCAAATAGACTAAGAGACCCTCCAGGCTTCACTCAAAGAAGTTGAGGACAAGGCTTATGATGAAGGCTTTGAGAAAGATGAGAAGGCTACAACGGAACAGATTCTTGTGTAAGAAAGGATGGTATTTTGTTGTGGTGGAGGCTAAGGCCCTTGCCGACCCTAGGCTCTTCTCAAAGCATGTTGTGACCATCCCTTCTCCTTAGGTGCGTCCCTACCTCCAACCAATCGTCCTACTGAACCTCCTAGGACCGATGTCCCTGTAGTCAATTCTCCTACCATTGGTCCCGTTCATTCTTCTAACATTGACCCTATTGATCCTTCTATTGTCATTGACCCTATTGACCATGTTGATCCACTTTACTATATTAGCAAGATTCCAGTGTTTCAAATACAATGCAACTTATAACCTTTGGTTTTGATCTTTATACTAGATTTTCACTCTATGCTTACTGGTGAGCCTTATGGGCATCAGCATCACAGAGGGTAGAAAACTCACAAAAAATGAGAAAAGCTAGTTTTCCTCAAATAAAGTTATAACTCCAAAAAAAAAAATTCTTATCCAAAAAAAACACCCAATTTTTTAAAAATTGCTAAAGTACTAATTGATTCAATTGTATAAACGTATTTAATTGTTCAATAGTTAACGTCTTTAGATTGAGTAAATAAATTCCTAGTTTTTCTATTGTATGTGTCGTTAGGGTTTTGCATATTACACACATATATTTGTACGCTCTTATTTAACAATTTTTATGCTTTAGTTGGGATGGATCCATATCAACTGATATAGAATATGTTGGTTTGATTTTTTTTTTTATTATTATAGAAATAAATTTAAGATTAAATCATCATTATTCTTTTGTACATTCGACATGAAATGTTAATATAATTTTAGAAAATACAACAAATATATTAGCATTTAGAAGAAAGTTATAGTAGAGGCCAATGTAATTAATCTTTTAGAATTTTATTGCATAGTTTCTTCATATTTATCTGTAAGTATAATATAAATATTTTTTTAAGTTTTTTCATATGCGAGAACTAGCCTGACCAAGCAAATTTGAATACGTATAATTGCCTATAAATCACATTTAACTAGAAAAGCCCATCACTTAAACTACTCTAAGGTTTGAACTTTTCTTGGTTTTAAGGTATGTCTACTACAGTAGTAACTTTCTTGAAATTCGTGAATCTAATTATTTTTATACACTCCTATGCATAAAAAATGTCTACATGTTATTCAATCTGTTGCATTTATAAAAGGTGCAAAGGTTTCCACTTCTAGTGTAAAGTAAACCATCAAAAGTGTGGAATAAAGCTTCATGTAAGAGGCAAGAAATGAGTTTAGCTCCTTCAAAAAAAATGTGAATTGAGGATGCATATTCCCTTTCTCTATCCTGCAAAACGAGCAAACTTCCCAAGACCGAAGTGTTTCGGTCAAACACACTCTGATGCTTAAGTCAGTACTTGAATAAAAATTTGCTATGTAGGGAGAATTGTGTGTACCTTTCTCCTTGAATTCCTGCTTCCTTTATAGAGTCTCCTTCCGCTAGGGTTTCCCTGATTGATGATACAAGTTGGCACACCTTCTTTCAATAGGGAATTTTGTTAGGGATTCGCTGAAATCTCTCTAACAGTTTCCTTGATCGAATCACTCTCACCGAGTTGATGATCACGCTCTATTTTTGTACCAGAATGCCTGAGTTATAGGCATTTTCCAAACGCTTGTTTATATGAGGAGCTCGGTCCAGTTGGAGTCGAGTGTTATCCCTTCCTTACTAAACTATTGAATAGTTCGACACATCTCTGTCAAAGTAATGATTTAAGAGTTTGGTTAGGCTGTGATTCTACTATTTCCTCATAACTGGTCTTATCACTCCCACATGAGAGTATTAAATGCCTCTACATGTGTCAAAAATGTAGTTCTCCTTCATTTTCCCCCAAGAAATGTGTGACAAATATTTTTTGTCTGTCAGTCGTTTCATGCCCCCAGATCATCATTGCACATACCTTTGAGACATGCACCTTAGTTTTGGCAGCGTGTCTTGCATTTAAATGTTTGTCCCTTAAGCTTCAGTTACTCTTTTTAAGTGAACCCTTCTTTTCTTCCTTCTGCTCGACCCTTCTTTTCTAGATTGCAAGTTGTTTCCTCCATTATACTCTTTATTTTCTTCTACACTATGGTTCCCCTCACTTCTTTTGAAATTCCTACCTTTAAAGCAAAATACCAAATGGATGACGTTGACATTCGAATTGTTGGTGCTAAAGAGCCTTTGATTGGGACCAAAGAGAGTATTCCCATTCATTCTTGTGCGATTACTGAGGGTGGGGTTCACTTTTCCCTCGACTTTCTCCTTCTTTGGGTACTTTCAGCAATGAAGTTGTGCCCTATTCAGTGTTGTCCCAACTTTTGCAGCATCGTGATGGACGTGGCTGCTCTCAACAAGCTGTTGAACCTGAGTTTGGGTCTTTGAGAAATTCTAGTTTGTTACATTATCAAACCAGCTAGAGACAACTATTAAATACGATAATGAAGAAGGACCGCTATTTGGTGAACCATCTTCCAGATTCGAACAAGGATCATGAAAATGATGTGATATTCGTCTCTGAGAATTAGGAGTATGCGTTAATGCTACCCCCTCTTATCAATGCCCTTACGAGGAAGGCGCACCAGGTGACTGACACTATTACTCATCTCTTCATGTATATTATTTTTACTTACACTGTATTTCTTTATAGGAGAGACTGTGAAGGGGAGAATTCCTGAATGGGCTATTAAGATGGACAAGTTAAAAAAGGTGTGGGATTATAACAACTCACTCTTCTACCGAGTTGATCATACACTTCTCGAATACACTCCAACCTATATACCTTTTATTATTTTCTCTTGCTGACCTAATTCTGTTCTTGCTAGTGATCACTAATCTATCCAAGACGTTCGGGATCAAACTCCTCACTCCCACAAAAAGTCCCTTCTCGGCCCTTTTGGAAGAAACTGGTCGTTCAAGAATTTTCTTGATTTTTTATCCTCTTTTGAGCCTTCTATTCCTGTTAAACCCTCTGTACTAATTGAAACTTCTGCTCCTGCTGAACCTTATGTCCCTGTTGAAACTTTTGTATTTATACAAAAACTTGAACCTGAATATCCTATTGAAGCAACCCTTGCCGAGTCGAACCACATATGACTTGGCTCAGGCCTCTGAGTCCTCTATCCCCATCCAGTTTCCTCCTCCTTCTCCTACCCCAAATCAATTTCCTAATGACCATCTTGAATCAATCCTTGAGCTCTCTGATGATCCTCTCCCCAAAAAATGTAAAGTCTCACAGTCTGACGTAGCTCCTTCTTCAAAGCCTGTGATTCTTCCCTTCAGACCTATTTTGAAAGCTAAAGGGAGGGAGATCACCGTGAAGGATTCTGTTGTCGAAGACTTCAATGTGGCAGTGAAAATTACCAGGGGATGATCTTACCTCGTGAGCTAGCTGCAAATGAGGCCTTATCTGATGATGAAATTACATGGTAAGCAATCCAGCAAATAGTCCTGGTATTTTCTCCTCTTTTTTGCATTTTCCTTGGTCAATTGGTCAGAGTTCTTCTTATTTTTGTCATTTTTTCATTGATTTATAGTCGCTTCAAAAGGTCCATGAAGTAGGGGCTAGGATTGCAAGGAAAGATAAGGCTATAGAGTACGTCATCCATGCTCGTGCATCTACTTTGGCAAAAAAAGAATCCATTGATGAAGAATACGTCGAACTCTGTGAAGAAATTCTGGTTCTTCAAGCTCAAATACTTAGCTTGACTGAAGAGAACAAGAAACTTGTCGCAAAGGTTGAGGAATTGAAGGTGTCTGAACATGCAGTCAGTGTCGAATTCACCCAAACCCTGCTTGATCACTCCGGCCTTTTGGAGGAATTTGAGAAATTCAAATTTGAAGCTAAGGGCCAGGAAGATTTAGCTTTCAAGAAAGGGATGGAAAAGGCGGAGAATGACTTGGCTTTGCAGATCCCAATCTTAGAAAAGGCATTTTTCAGCAAAGGTTGGCATGCTGCTTTGAACTGCTACTGAAATACCTCAATCTTCGGAACGTTATGCTGGCTTTTCTTAACCCTTGTCAACCTAAACAATAGAATTTAAAATCTTGTTTCTTTTTTAACTTTTCTTTCGATGTAATGAAAACTTTCTTTACTTTATTTTTGTGCATTTGTACTTTACTATTTTTCTTTATTAATCTTTGTCTTTTGCTCGAGTAGTGACAATCCATAAATAAATGGTTGTTCGAGAAGTTATGGCCATTACTCAGTCTTCTTTCGAAAAATTCGGTCCCAACGTAGGGATTTAAACAAATTCAGCTCTTTTAAGTTATGGTCATTACTCGGCCTTTCATCGAAGAGCTCGGTCCCAAAGTTGGGACTTAAACAAATTATGCTCTTTTAAGGTATGACCTTTACTCGACCTCTTTTCAAAGAGCTCGGTCCCAAAAGTAGGGACTTAAACAAATTCTACTCTTTTAAGTTATGGCCTTTACTCAGCCTCTCTTCAAAGAGCTTAGTCCAAAAGTAAGGACTTAAACAAATTCTGTTATTTTAAGTTATGGTCTTTACTCGATCTTTCTTCAAAGAGCTCGGATGACTATTCCGTAGAAATAGAGACTCTGGCCCCTTGGGCACTTTAAGAGAATGTTTCTATGTTCGTACCGACCCACCGATCTAATCGGACTCAAATCACTACTCATTCGATTTACATTGTCATGCCTAACCGAGTGTTAGAATTTGATCGGGTGGCTACGCCTGATTTAAGCTTATGCTTCTATCAAGATTTTTGCCTCTGCCTTGGCAGTAGGATGAATCTAATTTGTAGATACGAAAATTGTGAATTTTTATTCAAAAAATGCTAAAGATATGCCTTTGTAGACACAAAGATATACATTATCCTTTCAAAAGATCTCCATAAGGGGCACCCTCATTCTCCCGAAGGTACTTCAGAGTTCACATTTCAAAAGGTACTTTTAGAAATAGAACTTTCGTAGGTTTGATGAATTCCAAGGTCGTGGTACAATTTTGTGGTCTAAAGTTTCAATCTCATAGTATCCACTGCCTCCTACTCACGTTATTTCGTACGGCCCCTCTCAGGTCGCACCAAGCTTTTCGTGTGCTAGATTCTTTGTCGATCCCCTTGCTGGAATGAAAATCCCAAGAGCCGTTGGCAGAG